GCCTCAGGCTGGCTCACAGCAACCTCTGTCTCCTGGGCTTAAGTGTTCCTCCAGCCTCAGCACACCATCTTGCCTGGCTAAATTTTTCTATTTTTAGGAGAGTCAGAGATCTCACTCTTGCTCAGGCTTATCTAAAACTCCTGACCTCAAGCAATCCTCCTGCCTTGGCCTCCCAGAGTAGTAGGATTACAGGGCTTAAGTGTTCCTCCAGCCTCAGCACACCATCTTGCCTGGCTAAATTTTTCTATTTTTAGGAGAGTCAGAGATCTCACTCTTGCTCAGGCTTATCTAAAACTCCTGACCTCAAGCAATCCTCCTGCCTTGGCCTCCCAGAGTATTAGGATTACAGGTATGAGCCACTGTGCCCAGGTCTCATTGTAGTTTTGATCTTCATTTCCCTAATGATTAGTGATGCTAGGAGTCTTCTCCTGAGCTGTTAGCCATTTGTACACTGTCTTACAAGAAATACCTATCTATTCAAGTCCTTTGCCCATTTTTGAAATGGATTTGGGGATTTTGTTGTTTTGTTTTTCTCTGTAGAAATTCTTTACATATTCTAGATCTTCACCCCTTACACATACATGATTACAACGTGATTACAGATATTTTCTTCCATTCTGTAGGATGCATTTTCACTCTGTTGGTTGTATCCTGTGATGTGAAGAAAGGGTTTTTTTGTTGTTATTGTTATTTTGATGCCCAATTTATCTATTTTTACTATTCTTGACTGAGTTTTGGTGTCAAATCCAAGAAACCATTGCCAAATACAATGTCATGAAGCTTTCCCTTATTTTTTCTTATGAAAGGTTTATAGTTTTGTCTCCTTATCTTTGTTATCAACTTTACTGACTAAATCTTCTATTAAGTTTATTTTATTCTATTTTTATTTTCTAAGAGTTCCCCTGTTCCTTATTCGTTATAGAATTTTCTTATTTGACAGAAGAAAATTCCTTTCATTTCCTTCTATTTTTCTGGTATTACTAAATTAAAAAAAATGTTACTCCTTGTATTATTGTTTCTGTTTCCTACGTATAAGGAATAAGACCACAGGGATTGGTATATCCTTATCCATCCACTCATGTTATGAGGCTGCACAGAAGAGCTGGGAGTCTCAACACTCTGCATGTTTCCTCTGCTTTCTGTCCATTGGCCTCTCCTGCTTTCTACCATATCTGTGAATCCTAATATAGAGTCTTCTTATTTAATTTCCTACCTGAGAAATATGTATCTGGTGTCCCATTCAGCCAGAAGAAAACTAGATGCTAAGACTAGGGAGAAAAAGTAGAGTTCCTTAATAGAGACAGTCAAACTGTCTCTGTGCTTCCAACCTGTATCTCCTTCTCTCCGCCTCAGATACGGATTGTTGCTGGGGTCAGAAGGCATGGATGGGCTGTGCTTTGTCCTTGGCACATACTCAGTTACCTCTACCTCCTCACCCACTTGACACCATCTAAAATATTGTTCACTCAGCCCATAGTCAATCCGTATGCATTTATACCATTATATTTTTACACTTACTGGTATTTTCAGAGAAAACAGAGTTGTACACATAAATTCAAATTAATTTCCCCATTAAAATTTTTAGGAATAATTTTTGAAATTGAGGCCCGGCTTTTTATGTCCAGTATATTATTTGCCAAAAATAATCTCATTAATTTCTCTCTATTAAAGACAAGTACCTCATAAAAATATTTCTTCTTGGTGATTTTACTGATTTAATTTTACTTTTAAGATTCAACCATTTAGCACATTAACACATTATGTGTTTCCATGTCACAAATTTAAACCTTGAGCCAATTGTTTAATTAAATCCACCTCCTTCAAATTTTAAGGTTAAAACTAAATTCTATTTTACTGTATGTTTTAGCAAGTTTTCCCAGGAATATATTTCTTCAATGTTTCAAAAACTGTATTAAGTCTTGTAAGAACTTTGATGTTGCAGATCTGTGATCCCCCACCTCTGTACCAGTCCCCCAAATCCCTCTATCCCCTGCCCGGCACACTGTCCATGGAAAAATTATTCTTCCACGAAACTAGTCTCTTGTGCCAAAAAGGTTGTGGAGCCCTGCTAGATAATGGTAATGTTTTACTGAATTCAAAATGGTTTCTTAATGTGTTTCTTTCAATTCCTAGGGAAACATGTCTGCACAGGCTGTACTTGGAAAAGGTAAATTAACAGTCTCCTCTTGACTTATTTTTTAATGGACTTCAAGGCACACAGGAATCTCTCTGCTTCCTGACGGCCTTTAGCTACACATTCTGGTCCTCAGCAGCGTCTTTACTGTCTCCTCTGGCTTGTTGAGTCTAATCTGCTCTGGCTAGAAACATGAGAGAATGGCACTTGTGAAATTCTAGCCAAATACAAAAGAGGATCTGATTAAGGATCCATGAGTAAACTTATGTGTTTTAATGCATACACTTTGTGATTAAGATGCTGAAACCACTGCAACTCCTCAGGTCCTAAATAAAGACTTAGTTAAGAATTAAACAAAAATAAAATAAAATAAAATGAGCGGCAGGGGGGTGGTGGCATAGGTATGTATAAAAGTTTGGATCCAGAAGTCTACGATAATTTAATAACATTACTTGATAAAAGACTATGGACTCAGTCACTGTGGGAAGTAATCAGATGTCTTACTGGAACACATGTGTTACAGTAGGAAGACCTTTCAAGTTTTCATTTCCCTCTTTGTTGTCTCAGCCATCTCCTCAGATATGACTATGTCCACCGGAGACTTTAAATACATAAGGTAGCCAATTTCTGTTGTGACATCACAGTCTTCAAAGAATGTATCCACCAGTTTATCAAAGTGATTTCAAAGTTTCTGAACACTCTGATGTGCAGAGAAGTTAAGATTAAATTCTCTCCAGTATATGAAATGTGTCTTTGTCCTCCACACATTTGAGGTCTGCATGTGAAGGATTATTTCACTAAATATTTTCTCCCCAATAGACTGATACTGAAACCCCCCTTTATAAATTTCCACATTTTGATAACTCGTTATTTGGCCACATAAGATGCACTTGACATGTTTGTCTTCTGGTAGGCATAGATGAACAAATCGATCTCGGATTGGGAGAGTCCCACCAAATTGATGGAATTAGTGTGGACAAAGATTTGATCAGTCAGATGACAGAAACACAGGAAAAATCGCAAGATGAACTTTCTACCATAAATAATAGTGTTTCTAAAGAAATATGGCTAGATTTTGAAGACTTCTGCATATGCTTTCAGTAAGTATCTAAATGTGATTCATCTGACTGTGTTGTAGTGGTTAAATTTTGGGCTGCATTATTATACAGATTCACATCAGATTCACATTTGTGTGTTTAATATAGTGGTTATATAACCTATTGATTCTTAGCTATCATTCAAAAGAGTTCTGTCAGCGTTAGCCTGGTGTTGGTATAATGTCAATAAAAATTTTAGAAGGGAAAAATAAATGTGTTGATTATCCACATAACACATTCATAGCCAGACCAATCTCAGTCTTGTTTTGGCTTCTCCTCAAAGACTTGTTAATTAAAATGAAGCCAATTTACTCACTGGGATCATTTTTGTCCCTTTAGGGCAACTAACTCAATACAGTATATGTTTAAACTTTCTGCTTATAATTATTTGATTCTAAGAAACTTAACATGTAGTACTAGTCTTGCATATAATGACAATAACCTGTTATAAATTATTCATTTCAGGAATATATATATTTTCCACAAGCCAAATTCATATTGCCTTAACTTTCAAAAATCAGAATTCAAGGTAAATATATTATAATCTCTACTATTTCCCTTCTTATACTTAAATTTTTGATGGAATCGCACTAGTGAAAAATGCCCTCAAATTTCTCAAGCATTTCTAAATTTGTAATATAATTATATCTAGAAAAATTAATTTTTAGAGTCTCCTAGTAATTCCTTATCCAGACAATAAGCAAAATTCCACTAGCTCAAAACCCCAAGAATGATTCATCAGATTATGTTGTTGTAGTTACATCCCCCGAGTGCCTTAGAAAAATTCACAGTAAGAAAATTTTGATTAACAAATAAATGAAGGAGATGTAAAATAAATTCATTAGATTTGGTTTCAATTAGGATTCACTGGATAGTGTGTAGTTCTTAGCACATGTGCAGATTTTCACCAGCATGTCTAGATATTTTTTTTCTTTGTTTGCTTGTTTCCATGTTCCTCTCTCTACCTGGGGTGCCTTCCGTTTTTCCTCACTGCCTTGCTCTAGCTAATGCCTGGAAGAAGACCCTTCAGAGCAGCATGGGTGTCCTTGACTGTGAGGCTTCCTGCCTGCCTTGGAGTCTCATGCTCTCCAGGCCCTCTGTGCACCTCGCTTCCCAGCCTCCCACTCCCTGCTCACCCTTCTGAGCACTCCCTGTCCCTGCCCAATGGTAGCCTCTTTAGAATGACTGTGTTTTGTTTACCATTGTACAACCTTCCTGACATGATGTAGGATCTCAATTTAAAAATATTATTGAATAAGTTAATTAACAAATTAGGCATTAAGGAGAATTTTTATAAAACTATGACACATATTCTGTGAAACTAAATTGTAGTGAGATGAGGGTGGTTCCCTGTCTCAGGAAAACTCCATCCAAGCCCCTGAGGATAATCCCTCAGCTCCATGAACAATCTGCAAGAGGTAGGCATAGGAAACAGTCTTGGAAATGACTCACCATTGCACCTGTCAGAGATGAAATGCAGGCAGAGAAATCCTTTAAGTGTTCCTGGACAGGTTCTCTGCAGGTGGCTGCCTACTCAGGTCCACAGTAGTGAGTAGGGGAGAAATAGTCTACCCCAGCATGGAGTCTATCTACAAAAACACCCAGAGGACTACTTTAACTTTATAAAGATAACCACACTGTTAATCAGGAAGAGTTGAATGCAGAGTTTGAGATGAGAATAATGTGCACTTTACAGTTTACTTGGGCATGTTTCTATTTCAAATAATTGCCGTTAATCAAATGGCAATTGTTTATAGGTATTGCAGGCCCCAAACTAGGTTTTTTACTGCCTTAACTCCTCATATCAAACCCTACAAGAGAGGTATCCCTGTGATCATTTCACATCTAATAAAAGGAGGCAGAGTAAGTTGGAGGTGATGTATATAAGACATTAGAAGAATGCCTATTATTAAGTAAAAATTAAGGTTGGTGGCCATTTCCTAAGGCAATTTGCATGTGCGTTTTTGTTGCATATCACCATCCTAATATCAATGTGTGTGTGGTAAAACAGTCACGTGTCCTTTATTCTGATCCTATTCTTACAAAGTGTTGGTAAATATTAGGATTTTTCCTTTGATGACTCAGGTTGACAAAATAAAAGATAACATCCCTACAAGAGTCTTTTTTTTTTTTTTTTTCTTGGAAACAGAGTCTCACTCTGTTGCCCAAGGCTAAAGTGCCATGGTATCATAGCTCATAGCAACTCAAATTCCTTGGCTCATGTGATCCTCTTGCCTCAGCCTCCCAAGTAGCGGGACTACAGGTGCCCACCACACCACCAGGCTATTTTGTCTATTTTTAGTACAGACAGGGTCTTGCTCTTCTTGTTTAGTCTGGTCTCAAACTCCTGAGCTCAGGCGATCCATCCACCTCAGCCCCCCAGAGTGTTAGGATTACAGACCCTGCCTAGCCCCCCACATGAGTCTTTTATTCTTCTATTTTTTTTTTTAACATTAAAGACATGAGAAAATAACTTTTTTTTGGAGGGCACAAACTCAAACTCAATGGCCTAGAAGGGAGGATTGCTTATGATCTGAAGGCAGATACTACAAACACTAGCAGCCAGCTAAAGTAGGGATGTGGAGCACAAGGCCTGTCCCCATTACATTCCATAGCGGTTTCATCTGCGCTCAGTGTGAGGAAGGGATAGGGGCCTTTCAAAGAGCCCAGGTGCTGGCACCAGGGCAGAGTCCCTGTGTATGACCTTTGGGAGCTCCTCCCCCCCCCCCACTTCAATTCTCAGGTCCTTAAAAATGGCAGCAAATGAGCAGAAAATATGCAAGCACATATACTGGCCTGGCCAATCCTGAGATTCCTCATATTTTTAGATAGTGAATATTTGAAGCATCTGTCTACATCCCCAACTCATTGTAATGAAAGGAAACAAATGAAATAGTGTCTGAGGAAAACTAATGAAAAATATGGAGATCAATCATTTAAAACATGGTTTCCTTTCAGCAAGCATTTCTAGTAATCTTACACTTGATTAAACAACTACATTTCTTTTTTAATAGTGTTCTTAGAAATTTTTCTTTCATTTATTTACTGGTTACTCAAATGTTGTGGGAAAATAATCAAAAAGGCTTTTAAAGTATAGCAACAAATGAATTCCATGAATATATTTTCAGCATGCCAGTGGTCAGAATTCTGTTGAACTGGGGAGACAATGATGGTGCACCTGTCAAGAGTCCCAGCCTTAGAGTTGGGGATATGTATACCTACTTCAGAACTGCACCTGTGCCCTTTACAAGCTCTGACCTTTCCTAGATCACTGAATCTCTTAGTGTTTTAGTTTCTTCATCTATAATTAGGGATATAGATAGCAGTCCTGTAGGATGAATTGAAATCATGTACATTTAACCCTTATGTGGGTGTCTTCTAAGGGAAGTTGTGATTTAACTCAACACTTTAATGCATCTCCAAAACAAAAACTAGTCTGGTGCATCAGCAAGCAATGGATATATGTGAATATTTTGGTGGAAAGAAGGGTAGGAAGGTTTATGTCACGTATTGCTCTGTAAAATACCTTAATCCTTAATACTTCATTAGACATTCCCATTCCCTGCCAGCATTACTCTGTGGCCTCCCTGCCTGTCAGAGACCCATTCTCTGAGTACTGCACAGCCTGGGTCCCAGTTTCCTCTTCTCTTTCTTGATTCAAGAACAAGGATATTCCTCTCCTTTGCTCATAGAGAAGAGTTTTGCCTTTTTGATATGGCAGCAAGGCTCACCCAGGCACTGCAGACCCAGCTTCCACAGACTGATGCCAATGTTCACCAGTTGTTTTTTTCATATTATTAAACACATAAAAGTACTTGTCGTGGTGTCTATAATACAGTAAGTTTCTTGTCAATGTTAGCTCTTGTACTATATCATCATTAGAAGTGGAAAATCTTGCCACTAATGGAATGAGACTAAGCGTGATGGTTTGTCTAATTTCTTGCAGTTCTCAGATGAACGTGTGTCCTACCATTTATTTGTGGATAGTCTAAAACCTATCGAACTGCTGGTTTGCTTTTCTGCATTGGTACGCTGGGGGGAATACGGAGGTAAGAGGGCTCTGAGGCAAGGATGGTCTTAAAGCCCTGATTGTTTTCAGGCCAGGGGATATGCAATAATGATGGAACCTTTATGCCATGATAAAGGAACTTTTTCGCTTTTCAGAATCTCTCAAAAGTTCCTCCTCTGATGCCCTTAGTCCTCAGGCATCAAGGATAGTGCTCAGTCTTGCCACTTGTACCTCTCTGGGTTACACTCATCTGGTCATCTCTTTGGCATACTGAATTGTTCTGATTTGTTTGTTCACTTATACAATTTATTATTGTTGATTCTTTTGAAATCGATTGAAAACCATGAAATTTCTTTTTTGTTTTGACAACCCCAAAAGTCTTTTCCTCTACCCCCTTGCCCCCTGCTTTTTCATGGTTACACTACAGACCTTATCTTCCCCAATTAGGGCGCCATGTCAATCATCTCAATTTCACACACTACACTCTCTGATTGCCACTTCCTGTTCACTCTCTCAAGGGTCCCTACTCCTACAGTTCTTGACCCCATTGGGCCTTCCATCCCTCTACCCTGCCATTTTTTCCCTCTATCCATCTCTCTTCTCATTTTTGTTTCTCTCCCATTCTTAGCTTAGTTTCTATGGTCCCTCACTCTAATTATTATATCCTTGCATATACCTTCTTGTCTTCTCATCTTATTTTCCTCAAAAAATCCAAATATTGATGAAGCTCAACTCTGCACCTAACCTGTGATTTCAAAAGAGCAGCTAAATGTGTTTGGAAGAAAAAAAATCCTGTCTAGCCCTGTCTAAAATTGAGAAGCACAAATCTCAACAAAGCCCCACAGGTCTGCCAGCGGTTCTCTAGTTTATCCCCTCTCCCACTCTGTTCCTCTGGATGACTACTACAGGCCTTCATGGCTTCTCTTTCACTTCACATCCTCAACACCCGCTCTTAAACTCACCCAGTTTCAACTGATGGCCTTGCTGCTGATTTCACGAAAAGATAGGAGAAATCAAAACTGACCCACCTCATCTTCCTTTTGAGCGTCCCTCATGCTCTCCTTCTGCCTTCCTTCCTAAAGTATGACCATCTCTGCCCCACTGCAAGGCCTCGTCCTGGCACACTCACACTTAACACATGTAAAACAGCATTATTTAATTTTTGGCCTTCCTGTTTTGTTAAAGCATTTATCTTCAGCTCACATTAATGGTCCCGGGCCCTGTCATGGGCAGTGAATCTCTGCTGAATGCTTAGTGTTGCATGTTTTGTCAACACTAAGGATGGGGAGTTTTATCCTTTACCAAAGTTTCCTTTATATTTCAAATGGTGTCCAGCATATGGTATGTGGTAAATAAATATGTGGTATAGAATACACGTTCAGAAACTTAGCAATCTAGCTTTAATTTGTCTATAAGACAAATAGCACTGAAGCCATACCACATCCTGAAACATTTGAATTACATATCCATGAAAGCAGCTTTCGGGGCCCTCTTGTGATCTTACACTCTCAGAGCCAGTGTTTTCTGGAAATAGGGAAAGAAGTACTTTGCCCTCAGTCACAATGAAGAATAGTTCAGATTGTTTGTCTATTTTGAAATAAGAACTTGATATTAAAATGAAATTTTTGATGATTACCTGCTAGTTTCTACATGACGTCAAAAACTGCAAATCAAAGGCAAAAATTTAGATAAAGAGTGGTATATTTTGACTTGCTTTGACATTGTCCTAGAAAAAAAACTCATACTTTCCCAGATATAATGTGTTTCCTTCCTTTAAAATTGCATTTAGAAGTATTTGTAATTACTGCCATAGAGATAATAAAAGGGATGGACTACATGGTTCATTAAGAAAGTTTTGAGATACAGAAACATCAAGAAATGTAAAATCTGCATTTTACATGGAAACAAATGAGGCCCTCCCAGCAACACTGACAAGCGGAGCAAGTTGAAAAACTTACATAGGTGAATCAGAAAGGACGCTGTTGACTGTGTTTCTTGGAAGTGAAATAGTGTATCATAACACAGTCTGTCTTAAAACTTTTGTAGTGACCACAATGACATATACCTGTTGAGGTTCCTCTTCCTAATGCTCTCATTCCTGGTTTCGTCACCTAAGGGGATGATTATTAGGAGGAGTATAGGACAAGGAGGGAGATCTGGGTTCCACTTGAGTATTATTTTCAAAACTTATTTACCTGGAGTAATGTCTAATGTTTTCTGAGCATTTTTAGAATATCTACAATTATTTAATATCATTATTATTTGTGCTGTTAATGGCTAAAAAGTAACCTGAGTGAAGGCCAGCTATGCTTTCACAATAAAATTTCAGTATTTTTTCACTTATCTTGAAGCCTTAACAAAAGACAGCCCTCCCATAGAACCTGGACTTCTAATGGTTGAAGCAATTTCTTGGAAGTCTCTGAAGCCACGCAATCTTGTTGTGAAGATTCACACATATGCCACCAAGGCTACCATGGTTCGTCTGCCTGTTGGGTATGGAGACACTTCATTTTTCCCATGTTAAGAATTTTCCGAAGCTTTAAAAACTATTGATTACTAAAGAATGAAACAACAGGGACCTGGGACATGGTTTCCTGAAGTGATTTCACAAGGCACAGGTCTATCATTATGATTCTTGTAAAAAATAATTTCATAAGCCAACAAATTGAGATATGCTGTACACAATCTTTCTGAAGACCCATAATTGTCAATTCTGGAAACTTCTTTAGTAAACAATATTGTTTAAATTTGATTAACTTAATATTCACTAAAATTAATTAAAGAATCCCTTCTGTTTTCTCATGGATCTTATTTTATATTCCTTCGCAAGAAACTTAATTTTATTTAGACATTGGTAAACCAATCTATCGCTTCATCAGAGTTCACTTTTGTTAGACATTATTTTTAATTAAGATAAGTAGAGCTGAACATACCATAGTTTCCATTTTAAAGAAAATATGTCTAATGAAGAGTTTCATGATTTTGATGAATACAAGTCAAAATCTTACCTTCTGTTTCTGATGAAATAAATCTTTTCACCAGGTCTTTTGCCCTCAAGATTACTCTTGCTAGTCCTATATGACCAATGGAAAGCTATGGCTCTTGTGGAAAAAGCAGAGCCTAAGCAACAAAATCAAATGCTAAATTAATGTACAGCAGCATCCTGTATTTCTAGAAAATAATAAATTATGAAACTTCAACAGTTTTTACATCTGCCCTAAACACTCTGGGGTGGAGAGATTCTCCCAGACACCAAGTTACTCTGTGTGTGTGCTCATCCCTTGACCCTTGAGCACAGGGAATGAATGAAGAATCTTTCTCTAGTCTACCCTCCCCCCGCCAGGACCTAACCCATCCACTTGGATGTTTTGAATATGATCTAAGTGCTTATAACTAAGGGACCACGAGCATCCCTGTTCTCAGCGATCCTGCTTCCTGGTGGGAGGAGCACCATTAACATACATGAAATGATGCCTCTGTGAGGAAAAGACCATGAAATCTGCAAAGCCGTGTGCCCACATGAGTTACCATTGTCAGGGAGAAATCACCACCAGACTTTCACCGTGTGACTGCAGAGTGTGGGAGACGCCCTCACCACGTGCTGGAGAGCAGTTGGCATTTAGTCTATTTTTGTCCTACAAAATTAGTAAAATAGAGATTTCATGGTCTCTTAGATCTTTTAGAGTAAAAAATTCAAAGGTCCTTATCCCCTCTGTGTTAAAAAGTTCAACTCTTCACTAACCTGTGACTTGGTGTGAGTTCCAAACTGTCGTCAAGCAACTAGCAGAGGCAAAGGCCACCACATGGCAACACTCAGCAGGTGCTGACCAGTGTCCCCTCTGTCCAGGAGGCACATGCTGCTCTTCACCGCATACTCCCCAGTGGGCCACGCCTTAAATGTCTGCAGCATGGTGACCTTCGTCATCGGGGATGAAGACGTCGTGCTGCCCTACTTTGAGCCGGTAAACACTTTAGTAACTACAATTCTTGTGTGGTTTATTTTCAGAGATTCTGTACTAAATATGATTTTTATTTTTTATTCTACTTGCTCATTTTGCTTTTACCTTTTAAAACTATTAAGTATATTGTGCAAGAAAATCCTGACTGCATCTTGTGTAATAAACAGTCTAAACCTGGTAGGAATACAAATAAAACACATTTTTCCCCAATAACTTGCTCCCACCTCTGCTGTGCTGGACCCCCTTTCCTGTCTGCTAACAGCATTGGTCCTTTGAGGTATAAAAGGTCAGTATAGTCCTTTTTCATACAGACTAAACTTTTGATCTCTTTCACTCCTTTCCTTCCTTCCTTGGTCTAAGCCTGGAATTTGGAGTATGTGTGTCTGGGATTTGAGGGGGAAGGGGCTGCCCATGGAAGGTTCTGTCATTTCTCATTCATCTCCTCCTCCTGCTTCTGGTCTCAGTGGTTTCTCTTGCTCCTGTGCTCTGACAGGCCTGGAGTAAGCGGGGGGTAAATGGAGTCAGTGCCTCCTCTGAGGTTTTCTCTTGGTTTCTGGTGTCCTCTCTCTGTGCATGTGTGTGTGGAGATTTGCTTGTGGCCTCCCCAATGCGTAACTCTGGATGCTGCCTCAGCTCCTAGTCCTACCCACCAAAAACAAAAGGACAAACAGGAATCCAACTCCAAGTGGCACAACCCTGTCTCGATGGAATTCTCTAAGCAAATCGTGCATAGCAAGAAGAAGGCTCAAGACCAGCTCCCCACACTATGGTTTCCCGGCCCAGACGTGTGCTGCTGGCACGATCTTGCGTGTCTAGGCAGTGGCTGGATTCCTGCAGCTGCCTCCTGTTTGCTGTGCCATCCGTCCCTCACCAGGTCTCACTCCCTCCTGATTAGTAGGCACAGGAGGAAGATGGGCAACTCAACTTTATAAAAAGATGTCCCTTATTTTCATAACTGTGTTTATCCTGCTGATTTCAAATTCTTGTCTTTTTAAAAGTGATTCTGCTGTATGTGGTATTCACTATGCAACTGATTTCCTGCCTGCAGGTGATTTAACTCCCCAGGTGTTCACTGGTTTGGGTTTGTAGGCTCCTGTTTGCCTGATCTATCATGCCTCTTGTAAAGATTAGTGGGGCTCAAGCCCAAGCTCTGCTATCTCTGATCCGAGCAATGAAGTGCAAGGAGGAGACTGACTGGCCCAGGAGCAGAGAGGCTCGTGCTGCTGAGACCCAGAAGCGATTCATCCCAGCGCTGCCACTGGTCAAATTCTCTTGATCAGAGAACTTTTCTAGTGATTGTGCCACTGTAGGGAGAAAACCCCTTGAGATGAGGGCTTTCCCTGGGCTTTGGGGGGATTGGAGGAGGTAATGGAGAGGTCGCTGTGTTCAGGCAGCCAGTTGTATCTGTCTCCATCCCTGTATCAGCCTAGTGGGGCACCTGTGCTGTTCAGACACCCTAGGGGGGTGGTGCATTCCTCAGAAATTCTGCCCCATGGAGCTCCTGGGAGAAAAAACCCCAAAAAACAAAAAACCAAACTTTCCTCCAACTTTCACCATCTCCATGTGGCTGCTCCAGGCAACGCCACCAGTACCCACCACTAATAGCCTTCAGACAAACCCAGACTTTCCTCATATCTTTAAAAAAAATGACAGTATTCACTTCCTCAGACCCTATCTCCCTCTTCCTTCTAATGTTCCCCACAGAGTTGACAGCAGGAAGGCGCCAGCAGCCCACGCTAGCTACCTAGTTCCCTCTCTAGTCTCTTCCAAGCTCTGCCCCTGAAATCTCTGCTCCTTGGTCCTCCAATCCCACACAGTCACCCCTCAGAACTAGGTCTAGACCTAAATGCTCTGGAGACGCCCCCCTACCCCAGTGTGACAGTGTGCCCTCTGTGGGCTCCCACTCAGGTGGGAACTACCTTCCTGGTTTCCTACCTCGGAGACCACAGCACCTAGTAAAACGCCTCATGTTAAGTTCTCATGTTAACGCCTCATGTTAATGTATCATGTTAAGTTCTCTGTGAATAGCTATCAAATCAGACAGATAGCAGAGGTTTCATATTGTAACAGAAATTAATTTTTTATAACTTAATGACACATAAATAACTGCAAGTGAGGACGGCGGCTATGCTCTGTCTTTGCAGGAGAGCTACCGATTTACAGAGCAGGCCCTGGTGATTCTGAAAGCTGTTGGAAACGTGATTACTAATTTCAAAGATAAGGGCAAACTCTCTACAGCTCTGAAGGATCTCCAAGCCGCTCACTACCCGCTCTCCCTCCACAACAAAGAACTAACTGCACAGCACTTCAGGGTAAGCTCGTTCGGGATCTGATGTCCACAGGAGGAAATTTCTATTGGCGTAATATACTTTCTCTAGGGTGAACTCCAAAGGCAGAGCCTGAGAAAATATTTCAGATGGAGGCAAGTTACACGGGAAGTGATTTCAGAAAGCAGAAGTGAGGGTGTGGGAAAAATGAAATGAGAACAAGTGGGTTAAAGGATCATGACTACTGTGGACTCCTGAGATTGGACGGGCAGGGATTCCTGATGAGCTGCGTAAAATTTCCTTCAGAGGCCACGCTAAAGGCTGGCAGAGGGTGGTAGTGATCCACCAACTCTTACCCCAATGGCAGATGGTTGGCTCCAGGGGCTTTTACTTCCTAATGCTTAAAACTTGGGCCTCTGCTGTGGCTAAGGAGAATTCTGGCTTCATAGACAGCTTTGAGGGCTGAAGCAAAGCCTGGTCCCCCTCATCGATCCCTTAATCCCTTGAGGAGGGAGACCAGGCATCGATATGGACCTGTCCCCTTCAGTGGCACTGAAACCAGGTGCTATAGGTCTGGTTTTTGTAAACCCCCCACTACTGACATTTGGGGTCAGATCATCCTTGTCCAAGACTGTACTATGCCCTGTGGCATGTTTAACAGCACCTCCGGTCTCCTCCTTCTAGGCAACTGAAAATGACTTCAGATATTGCCAGATGTTCCCTGGATGACAGAGGTAGCATCAGCAAATTTAGGAAATAAAAGTACGAGACACCCAGTTGAATTTTAATTTTATGAAAACAGTATGTGCACAATTTAAGACATGTATGTACTAAAAATTCATTTTATCCATTTATTCAAATTTGACTGGGTGTTAGGGGTTGTTGGGGAAATACCACTAAAACCAAAGTCTCTTCCCAACATAGAAAACCTATTCGCAAAGGCAAAGAAAGAAGACAATTTTGTTGTTGAAAGAACTTTAAGCCAGAAAGTGCTGTGCATCACAGGAAGTCTACTGAGAGATTGCAAAGACAGAAAAAAGTCTCACTTTGACTCTTATCAGACCTTGGTGTTGCAATTATTCCTTTACCACAGTAATGTCAACAAGGGTCCCGGCAAGTTTCAGACAAAATTCTACCTGCTCCCATTATGTAGCTGGAACCCTACATGACAATCAGCATGAATTCTCCTCCTAACTGTTGTACTAATTCCTTTCCTGCTTGTCCACCAGGAAGAGAAACCCCAAACACCCAGGCCTTCATCCATTGTAGTTTAGTTTTATTGTAAATCAAACTGTGTACTCTGCTGGAAGCCTCTCTTGCCTTGCTCCCCAGGAAATGGGATCTCCAATCCAGCAACTCCTCGTATATAGGGAAAGAGCACAGATTTAGCAAATGAGTCATAGCAAAAATAATGGGGAAACTGGTCAATCCTGCCCTCAGCATTTGAATCCCAGACCTGTATGTTTTAGCTATGCAGAAAAAGCACGACCTACTGGTCTTTGGTTCAGTATATACATACACATAGGTTTTCATTTCCAGGGTATTTTTATAGCTTAGCCTTTCATGGATCACTCCACTCTAACACAAACTTTATCAATTCTGTCCATGGTATATATGGTAGGACCACTGGGTCCCAGACTATTCCCAATGGTTAAATCCTCACTGTGCAATGTGACTCTTGGTCCAAGGGTATACTAAGCTGGATCCCCTGTTTATAAGTCAGATTTCCATAGTTTTGTGAATAGTGGTGCTGGCAGAACTAAAGAGAGAGAAAGCAGACTCCTACCCAAGGAAGGTTTCAATTCTGGTAAAGACTCATTGGCCCATCTTGTTAGAAGTCACCTTGCTGCTAAGGACTGGCTGGACCTCTCAAAGGATGCTACTATATGAAAAGATCAGAGTCAGTTTCTGCTGCTAAAAGGTTAGATGATTGAGCCAGAGTGAAAGACAGCCCATGAAGATGACTCAGGGCATGGACCTTTTGTGGCTAGCCTTGATTTAATATGTAAGAAGTCTCTGTGTATGCATCACTAATGCAAAAGGGAGCTATTTTGTTAAATAAAACATCTTCATTTTATGCTTTGATAATTACATAGCTATGTGATGTGGTATAAAAGCTTTGCTCAAGTAAATCTGAAAGAACTTTAGCAGTATCAAGGACTAAGCAATAAGAAAGTGATAAAAACTCTAAGCCACGTATTTTCATTTTTTTGTAACACATGAAATAATAGTGTGTCTTATGATAGATGACATCTGAAAAATAAATGGAATTTGATATTTAACTTGTTTAAGCAATGGATCATATTTTTATTTCACTCTATCTTATATCTGTTCAGTTTAATGCTGTATTTTGATTGAATATATATCATAAAAATTGTTGTAATGACTGTATTTTGTTAAATTGGAAGTAGTCAAATAACAATTTTGGTCTTTTCCTGAGAAAGTGATCCTTTGAAGAGTCTTATCTTAGACTATGTATCTGGAAAATGTTTTTATTACTTTGAAATTTTCTAAATATTTTGTAGAGCTTTTCTGGCCTGGTGATAGCATTTTCTTGATTTGAGAGATGTATAATTTTTTTTTTTTATCTATTTCAGGTTTTCCATATTTCTTTATGGCGTTTAATGAAAAAAGTTCAATTAACAAGACCTCCTCCAAACTTCAAATTTGCATTCCGTGCTATGGTTTTGGACTTGGAGTTACTTGAGTCCTCCTTGGAGGATGTTTCTTTAGGTACTGACTAGTTTTAGATATTTCATCAAGGAATTCCTAGCCTTATGTAAGATAAATAGTTTGAGAAAGGTGCATCTGAAATGTTTGTGGAGTAGATAGAACAGGTTTATATGGGCAGTCACGGAATCCAGGCCCTGCTCTGGGAAGCGCCTATGGCTCCCAGGATCAGAGGAAAGTCCCCTACTCTCAATCCCTCACTTGCATACTTCCAAAGAAGCCCAGATTTTCCCTATTTTATCTGTTCTGACCTTAAAAAAATATGAAAGTCACTAGTCTATTTGGTATGATTTGAAGAGTTCTGGGAAGTCTCTCCAACCCAAATAACCTACTCACCTCCCCTTCCCATATTTTGTTCCCGCCATTTTAGCATTTCCTTTCGTGTTTTAGAGGAACCTCTGGCTATTCTCACAGAGGAATCAACGATAGTTCACTAAGGGACCACACTTTTGTGAGCCTCCCTTCTCCAGAATGTTTACATTCAGACAAGGACAACCCACAGTGGGCCATGTTCAATACATATGATGATGAGTTTCTCACTGTGGTTTTTGTATGTCTGAGGGCTTTAGTAACTAAAGGCACTGAAACTTGGAGAAAGAATGAAAAATAACTTTCAGTCCAACGTTTGCTTTTTTCTTTCCAGTGGAATGGGTAGACATTAAATATTGTATGCCAACAACTGATAGAGAGTATTCTCCTGAGGAGGTGATGGCAGCCATTAAAATTCAAGCCATGTGGAGAGGGACTTATGTTAGATTACTTATGAAAGCCAGAATACCAGGTACAATTTTTCAAACATTTATACAACAAATGAGTATGTAAGCACGTACGTATGTAAGAATCAGTATTTATTTCTCTGTGTTAATGAAAAGTATTTTAGAGTTGCCCTACTTTATGGCCCAGCTAATTGATTTTAATCCTACAAGTACTGAAGTTGCTTGAGATCAGGAGACACGTCAATGCACTCACTTTCTTATTCCCAGAATTAAGCACAGTGTCTGGCATATAGTTAAATACACAGCAAGTTCTTGCTAAAAGAGTGAATGAATAGAGAAATGAGTGAATGAATGATCCCAATCTATTTTGAGTCCTTTAAACAGGGAACTTACATATTGCTGTATACGTCCCCACTGCCTAGCCTCAGCTGCAGTCATCAGCTTCAGCTAACTCATAGGTATTTTTACATTTTGAGATCATTTTTTCAAATAAATGGGTGACTGAATGAATTACTGAATGATAAAGAATTCTCCATAAATGTCCATAATGACATACATTTAGGAGGCATAAAATGCATTTTAAGTACATTCTTAAGTTTACTAAATCAAATATATTTATGCATATGAAATAAAATATTTTTGAGAACAAGTCTTTTTATCAGCTTAATCTAAAACATAACAGATGCAAAATTATATTCAATCATTTTCATTCTGTGAATTTTGTTGACAATTTGATAAGAAAAATATGACCTCTGATAGAATTCTTTCCACATATTGAAATATTTCCTTGTATTAGTGTTTCTATTTGAAACTTGTAATGACAACAGTCAAAATGTTTAAGCAGTAAAAACATCAGATATACAAAGATTAAAAGCTAAAAGCTATATTGCATAGTTTAGTGATAGCAAAATATTAGAGTTGTCTGATTTTTATGTTTCTTTTTTTTCTGTTACACAAAAAGCACGTGTGGTGCTTAAATCATGCAGCTGTAATGGAGTACAATAGTCTGGGTAATTTATAAAGAACAGAGATTTGTTTCTCAAAGTTCTGGAGACTAGAAAGTACAAGGTCAAGGCAAGGGCCTTCTTACTGCATCTTACCATAGTGGGAGATGGAAGGGTAAGAGAGCATGTACGTGAGTGCAGGAGAGAGACAGACAGATAGAGAGAGAGAGAGAGAGAGAGAGAGAGAACAGAGGGCTTGGAACTCATCCTTTTATCAGGAACCCACTTTCTCCATAACTGACCCACTCCTTAATCATATCCTAGGTTTTACCTCTCAACACTGTAATGTTGGGGATTAAGTTTGCAACACATAAACTCTCAACATAAATTGTTGTCATAGTCTCATATTTAAACCTTTACCATATGGTAAAATATACTTTTTGCTGTGCATATATGTGGTGAAAATTATATTTACATAATAATTTATTTCCCTTTTTAGAGACTGAAAAGCTTGGACATTTTAATAATATACTTAATAATGTCTGCATTTCTTTTGCTCAGTTCATATTTATTGAATAACTCTTGTGTGCACAGCAATGTTATAGATTCTGGCCTTATGGAAATCAGTAAAACAGACAAGGTTACTTCTCTGATGACTCTTCCATTCTAGTGATGGTAAGCATACAATAGACAAGAGAATATATGAAGATATCAGTTTCAGATACTGGTTAGTACGTAAAGAAATGAAGAGAGGATAATTAGAAAAAGAATGTCAGTTTCTGATACTGTAAATTTTGGGCACTCAATATGGATCACATCTTCTTGTCAAATCAACAATTTGATACTTTTCAGCCATTTGAAGGTAATGCAGTAGATTGAGCTCTAGCAGATCCCGTTAGCCATTGTTCTTTAGAAAAATTATATGGATTATCTTTCCTGAGAAAAGACCTTTCATTAAAAAGATATAACAGAGATTTCCATATGCAAACACTTGATGACAATTTTAAATTAGATCAGACAGTATTTTATGATATTTAAACTAAAGATGAAAAGAAATATGGTGAGCAGAGTTCTTGAATAAATGTTTATGGCTCTATATTTTAAACATGATTTTTCTGCTATTAAAACGCATGACATTGGATACCATCTTATTCATGAATTGCAACTTCATTTGTAAAAATGAACTCTACGGACAAGATGATCTTTCAAGCATTATACAGGTTTAATATTGTTGCTTTTTATTATTTTTTGTAGACACAAAGGAAAATATCAGTGTTTCGGATACACTTCAAAAAGCTTGGGCTATACTGGAAATGAATTTAGAACAGTATGCACTTTCTCTCTTAAGGTAAAGCACCAAATATTATTTCTTATGGAAGTATATTGGTGTCCTTCAAAGTCCAGTTTGAATGCTGCCATATTTACTGATTTTTCCCCAATCACTTTATCTAGGAACCACTATTGCTTTTGAACATCCACAATATGTATGGTACTTGATACTTTTTATTTATGTCTTAATTGCACATATCTAAAATTCTAGGCATATACTATAAAATTCTGAAAAGCAGACAAAGTTTCCTGAAATCTTACGTTGCTGAGAGGACAAAAGTTTAGGACCTTGTAGAAAAAGGGAACCCAGTAAACAGTTGAAATTCCTGAAAGATGACAGTCTCTAAACATGGGCAAATCAGGGCAGCGCCTGTGGCTCAGTGGGTAGGGAGCTGGCCCCATATAGTGAGGGTGGTGGGTTCAAACCCCCCCCCACCGCCAAATTGTAGCAACAACAAAAAAAATAGACAGGCGGCACCTGTGGCTCAAGCTGCTAAGGCACCAGCCACATACACCTGAGCTGGCAGGTTCGAATCCAGCCCGGGCCTGCCAAACAACAATGACAACTGTATCCAAAAAATAGCCAGGTGTTGTGGTGGGCATCTGTAGTCCCAGCTACTTGGGATGCGGAGGCAAGAGAATCACTTAAGCACAGAAGTTGGAGGTTGCTGTGAGGTATGATGCCACAGCACTTTAAAATTATAAAAATTTAATGACTAAAAGACAGTCATGTGAAAATTGCATAAATATTGTTATAACAGAAATTAAGAGTTAACAACAGATTAGGCAAAATAGAAGAAAAGGTTAGTGAACTG